GGATTTACACTCCAGTGCATCTGAGGAAGTGAGCTCTGACTCATGCCTAGCTATTTCATGCTTCCCCCTCCCCATCTTGTCTGAGAGCAACACTGCTAATGCCTTTGCTAGCAAAGCTGAAAGTACCTTTCAGAGTTTGACAAACAGTCCTTTCATTAAAAAGGGATGTCATGGAGGATTTGCTTGGTGCTGGATATGCAAATAGCAGAATAGTCTACTTGAGGCTATTTTGATTCAGATAAGGAGCCCTTGATGGTGTCCTTGGGATCTGGAGCTAGCCTACTGTGTGCATCTTCCTGTAACATTTTGGGGGGGGGGCAGGGCACTGAAGTCTAATCCTTGCTCCTAGCCCTATTCTGATGAGATGCTGGAGTGAATGTGAAAAACAGATGAGTCGTTCACAGGTACATAAATTTATCAGGACAGTGAAGAGAGCATTGTGTTTATCAGAATAAAATAGGTGTCCAGTGGCACCTTAAAGATTTAACACAGTTTATTCCAGCATAAACTTTTGTTAATGAAAGCTTATTTCATCAGTAACCTCTGGAGTGAATATCTGTTAAAAGGTAAAGAGGTTCCCTTGCTTGAAAGCCAGTCGAGTCCGACTCTAGGGTTGCGGTGCTCATCTCCGTTTCCGAGCCGAAGAGCCAGCGCTGTCCGAAGACGTTTCCGTGGTCATGTGGCCGGCATGACTAAACACCGAGGCGCACGGAACGCTGTTACCTTCCCACCGAAGTGGCACCTATTGATCTACTTGCAATTTCTTGCTTTCGAACTGCTAGGTTGGCAGGAGGAATATCTGTTAGGTCAGTGCTTTTATATTCACAACAGAAAGGAGGGCCATGCAAGGGAGGAAGAAATGTTGCAAAGAGAAAAATCACTCTATGAGGATCGTTTCTAAGTTGCTTAATGATCTGCTGCTGTTTTATGCTCTGGCTGGATTGCAATGCTAGGTTTCAAACAGTTTTGTCGTCATTAATTACTTTTGTGGCATTTTATGTTATCAATATGTTTTACTTCGTAAGCCCCCTCGACCAGTCTCTCAGGAGAGATGGCAGAGAACTCCTCTAAATAAATAAAGGCCCCGGTCACACGGGCCGGGAAACACGGCTATTTGCGCCATTGCATTCTGATGCGCTATAATGCGATCAGACGCGGCGACGGCTTTCCCGCAGCAAAGAGGACGACAGGGGAGAAAGCCGCATGCCGGTGCAATCACACCGGGAGGCTTCCATAGACGGCCCGTGGCAAAGCGTTTGCTAGTACATGCAATGTACTAGTTTTTTTACTGCGCAGCTTCGGCGGCTTGCCACGGGGTCGCCGCGGGAGTGCTACGCCTCCCAGATGTTCCCGTGTGATCGCGCCTGGATACTCCGCAGGACTCCCGTGCCTTCAGCGGGGCAAATGCTCCGTGTGAACGGGGCCAAAGGCAGGTTTAAAACAAGAAGTAATCTGTTGTGTCCGCTGGCTGCCACCAGGGGCCAGTGAACACTCCAGAGCTTGACTCTGGAGGAACAATGGGGACTAGGCTCCTGGTCTCTCCACTGGGGGACCAATGGGACCGTGGCGGGAGATTTAAACCCACCAACAGGACCTAGGGGTGTGTCCCCAGGTGTGTATATAGTTGGCCAGCCGGCCGTTTGTTTTTGTCTTTGTTGTGTACCAGTAAACCATGCTGATCACTACATCGGTCTCAGTGGTTTCTACATGCGTTTAACCCACTACACAATATAATCCCAAGAGTAATCAGTTCACTCAGAGTGCACGATAGCCACCCCCAACCTTTGTTAGATAGGCAAGGTAAGATTATCACGTTTCCTCCAAAAGCACTGTGAGGAATGTTTATTTTGGCTGGAAGACAGCAGTATCTTTAGTATTGACCTGCTTTACACAGAAAATCATTTCAGTGGCATAGGAGAACTTTCACGCTGCAATAAATGTGTTAGCCTTTCTGGAGCCATGAGACTGGCTGTAACACAGCTTCACTTCGAACATTCTCTGTAAGACGTTTGCTCCAGCTGTCCCCGTTGTAAGGCGAGTTCCTGGGTTTTTTTCTGGCAAAATCACTGTGTCTATTTCATTCTTATTTTTGAAGAGGCCCTGTTAAAATCTTAGGATTGGGCTGCATGACCACCAGTGTTCCGTCTACACTGAGTGAGTGTGAGCTAGCTCACAGTTTTTTAGCCTCCAGCTCACACACATTTTTGTCTTAGCTCCGGAAGGATGGCTCCAGAGCAAACTAATTTATGCAGTAGCCAAATCGCTTGCTCACAACTTTAACGCCAGTAGCTCACAAAGTAGACGTTTTGCTCACAAGACTCCACAGCTTAGAGGGAACATTGATGACCACCACTGTAGCAGGAGACCTCCCGCCCTGGACCCCCAGTTCCCTACCGCCACTTGACAGTGAACAGGGGAAAACGGGCATTCAGCATTGCACCGATGCCATGACATTACTCCTGGTGACATTACTTCTGTGGGCATGAACCAGAGGTGATGTCATTGCATCAGTACAACACTCTAGGATTCACCAAAACTGTATGTTTAAACCATAGAGTTCTTGGTGAATCCTAGAGTGTTGTGACAACATGATGACATCACTTTGGTTTGCATTCAGAATGATGTTGTGGCATTGGCATGATGCCCAACAGATTTTTGTTGTTGTTGTTGTTCAGTCCCACACAGATAGGTCCCTTCAATTTCTTGCTGGCTGCCCGTGCTGGGCTGGCAAACCCAGTGTTAGTGTGAGTTGCTAGACGTGTTGTTCTTTGTGGTTTATCTCCCCCTTCCCCCCCCCCCCAAATCTCTGTAAGTTAAAAAACTGAGGGTGGGAAGTGGATGTATCATGTGTCTGATGTGTATTGATGTGCTTGCAGTCGCTGAGCTGCATTTTGAACTGAGTGGTGGACAGTTGTATTTTTCAGGGATATTGTTAATGAAAATAGCAAACACCTCTTTGTCTCATTCAAGGGCAATCTGTTGCTGAGTATACAGCAAATAGAATCTTTTTAGGAGCATATTGTGAGCATATCTCTGTTTCATTACTCACTCGAGAGCCAGTGTGGTGGGTACAGTGGTCAGAGTATTAGGGCTAAGGCCTGGAAAATCCAGGTTCAAATCTGCAGCCAGCCAAAGGAGCTCACTGCATAACCTCAGGCCAGTCATTCGCTCTCAACTAACCTACTTAACAAGGTTCCTGTGAGAACAAAATAGAGATGGGGGAAACTCATGTGTTGCCCTGATCTTGAAGAAAGTAGGGGATAAAAATATGACGTCTGAAATTTGGAGGATATGGTAACATGGACTTTTATGTTGTTTATCGGGGGGAAAGCCCAAGGTAACTGGAGGACTGCCAAGTAGTTGATGGTTTTTATTTTTATATTTTATTTAAAATGCAGATGTTAATGTAAACGCTGCAGGATGCATGTATTTAGGGATTTTGCACCTTACATATTTCCAGTGCCATGCATTGTTTATTATTATTATTTAGTACATTTTTGTTGCACCGTTCCTGCAGGAACTGAGTTCTTTTCTCCTCCATTTTATCCTCACAACAACCCTGTGAGGTATGTTAGGCTGAGAGAGTGTGACTGGCCCCAAGGTGTCTCTCGCAAATCTCTCTTTCTGTCTCTCCCTCCCTTAGACCTCCAGGGCTATCGAACACCTCCTCCTATAAAAGCCTGCATTATAAAGTTGAGGGGTTTTCTGTAATAATTAGTGATAAGGTAGGACATTAAGAGAGTATGTGTGCCAGAAACAGAGACGTTGAGAAGCACGCCCCTCTGATGGAAAGTAGCCAGAAAGGACCATAGATGATTCCCTTGACTTTGAAGACTAAGTGGAAATGGAGCAGACAGCATTTAAGAAACAGTCATGTATGACTGTTCATGTGCAAACGTCAGTGCGGTGACTCAGATGGGCAGTCTTTCGGACAGTGATTCAGAGGGTGGAGCGGCTACTTTCTTCTCATCCAGCCTCCCCCCACCCCATTGGGAACTTTAAACCCCTGGGAACTGCCAGGCAATGGATCAAGGACAGGATCAAGCTCTGGTCAAAGGAGAAACCCCAGCAGGAATCTGTGGGGGCAAGATTTAAAGGCTCCCTCTGTCTCTATTGCTTCAGGGATCCCCCCCCCCCAAAAAAAGTGTTTTGCTCTCTCTAGTAGTCCCAGAGGGAGCAAAACACATGTGGAAAGGGGGGGGCAAAGCAATAGGGGGAAACGAGTGACAAAAATGCCAGTGTGGAATTGGTTTAGGATTCCCTACCCTCTGGAGCCCTTTCTTCTCCAGCTACAGCCATTTAGTACTACGTGAAAGAACGATCCTTTCAGGGAAGGCTCTCAGTTATGCAGACTTGGTTTTGCAGGGTATTTCGTATTTCAAATGGGTGTTTGAACTTGCTAGTCTTTCTTGCTAACTGCTCTTTGCAGGGTAGGCTCCTCTCCAACCTCCGAGTGGGGTTATGAGCATCCTCCCCCTGACAGAGGTAATCCCATGTTGCCCCTCGACCCACTTTCCCTATTTTCCCACGTAACGCTGCCTCCCCCACAACTGGGTTTTTATCATTTGCCTATTCTTTATATGGAGCTGCGGTGGCTCAAGTGGTTAAGACGCTGAACGGCAGGCTGTGGACGGTCAGTAGTTCAGCAGTTCGAGACCCGGGTGCCACAAGACGGAGTGAGCTCCCGTCTCTAGTTCCAGCTCCTGCCAACCTAGCAGTTCGAAAGCAAGAAATTGCAAGTAGATAAATAGGTACTACTTCGGTGGGAAGGTCACAGCGTTCCGTGCACCTTGGCGTTTAGTCATGCCGGCCACATGACCACGGAAACGTCTTTGGTCAGTGCTGGCTCTTTGGCTTTGAAACGGAGATGAGCACTGCAACCCTAGAGTCGGATTTGACTGGCTTTCGAGCAAGGGAACCTTTACCTTTATTCTTTATATATCCCGGTGGATAAAGGTGACCTGCATTCTACCCCTAATTTAGTTTTGGTTTCTTTCTAGTGCCGGGACCAAGTCCATCGGCTGATGATAGCGGCATCAGTGTTACAATGATAATGGTGGCCTGGCTGGTTCTAGCCCTTGCCTTGTTCTTGATGAGTCCCGCAAACTTCAGGAGATCCAATAGAGCTGAAAAACCAACCAGCCCGCATAACGTAAGTGTGTTTCCTACTGTTTCATGTAGCCTGACTGAATTGGTCTGGTATTTCCCAGATGAGCAGTTGTGGCAGGGAGAGCATTTAAAATCCCTTTAAGGAATGAAGCGACATAAATGCTTTACATAAAATTAATCTGTACCGTGGCTGTAGGCTGGACTCTGCAAAGCTGCAGCAGAAGGAGCTGGCGGAAGGGGACTTTCATGATCTCCTTTCCCCTCTCCCAGCAGCCACCTGCATCTACATAGGTGGAAAGAAAGCAATGCATTCATTAGATTATGTCCCGTCTAGGCCAGGATTCTGGGTAGCCTCACTTAGAGCTGTGCCTGATGTAAATTGGGGATGGGAGCCCAGAGGCAGCAGTAGGCAGGAAGTTTAGTTGTGTTAATCAGACCAGAGAAGCCCGGGCTCCCAATATTAATTCTTGGTTTACTGGATCTGGAACCCTCATTGCTGTCCAGTTCATCATTGTAGTACCCGAACAGTCCCACATGGGTACTAACATCCAACAAGTACCGTGCACAGATGATTATAACACATCATAAATAATTTTTGAAAAATATTTTTACAATAATATCTACATATATAATAAATCATCTTAATCAAAAATCATCTCCAAGAATCTCAAAAGCTATAGTACAACCTTTAATAATAGTCCTCCTCTGTTAAATAAAAGTTTCAAAAGGGAGGACTCCTTAAAGTCTCTTTATAACATGTGCTCGTGTCTTCCTCCGACAGAGGTCCAGATATCCTTCTGTTTCCGAATCTTCCTCAGGGAGTTTAACAATAATTTTCAGCACAAGGTTGCCACATACCAAAGTTTTAATCCAAAGTTCGCTTCAATGAACGCTGCAAAGATTTTTTTGATGAGCTACAAGCCTCCTCCAAAGTGAAAAGCACTTAAAGGTTGTACTATAGCTTTTGAGATTCTTGGAGATGATTTTTGATATTTTTGGTTAAGACGATTTATTATATATGTAGATAGTATTGTAAAAATATTTTTCAAAAAATATAAAATTATTTATGATATGTTATAATCATCTGTGCACGGTACTTGTTGTATGTTGGTTTTCCTACTTACCGTGGGTCCTTGTTTGGTTTTGTGAATTGCCACATGGGTACTATGCATGTGTGGGCCTGCTATGGGGGGGTTTTAGCTCAAAAGGAGTACTGATACTCCATCCCTCTCCCCCACGCTGACTTCCTGCCTTTTATAGGGTGACATAGATGGGGCAGAGTACCCTTCCCTCAGTTCTTCCTCTGCTACCACAGTCCTTGCTAGGCTGGGGCGCCCACAGTGGCCACATATCAGGCAGGGGGGGAACGGTCGACCCAAGAAAGGCTCTGTCACATCAACATGTTGGAGCTCAAAGCAATACTCAACAGCCTTCCCTCCGCACCCACCCGTCAGGCAAAAACATACGAATAGTTACAGACGATCTTACAGCCAGGGGTCATTTCGTAGAAAAAGAGGTGCAGGAGCTCATTAGCATAACTTATTTGCATATGCCACACCCCCTGACATCACCGGAAGTGTGTCAGAAGGCAGCACCCACCTCTCAGGCTCCACTGGACTCTTTTGGATTGCTAGCTATGGGGGGGGGGGAACGTGCAGATCTGTCCTCGCAGAGGAGGGAGAGCTTGTACCTGAATAAAACTTGGTCTTAAAGGTGCCACTGGACTGTTTTGGACCGGGGGGGCGGGCTCTGCAACTTACCTGGCTGCTTCTTGCTCAGACTGACGGCTGCTGGGAGCAGGGGGTGGGGCTTGTTGCATGTGCCCGCCCCCTGGGCTCTTTACTGCCGGAGCTCCGCTCCTGTGCGCTTCTGCAGGAAATGACCCCTGCTTGCAGCCATGTTTTATGTAAACAAACAGGACAGCACAACCTCAGCAGTGCTGCTGAGCCACTTTGCCTCTATGGTATGAGAATAGGTAGTCAAAAGCAATTCCATGATTCAGGCCATCCATGTTGCTGGGACTGACAACAAACGAGCAGATTTCCTTAGCCTTGCTCCTCTAGTACATCATGAATGGCAGCTAAACAGCAGCTCGGAGGTGGCTTTCGGTATGACTGGGGATCAGAGGATAAGCCCCTCCCCTCTGGGATCAAAGTTTGCCGGCCCTGCCTGCACAAGGGGGAGGTGCATTCCCAGGAGTAAGGAGTCAAGGACCGCCCCACTCTGGACCACCGAGAAGGAAGCTTCACGGTAAGTGAATACAAACCTTCCATTCCCTCTGTTCTAACGCAGTGTGTTCTCAACAAACAGGGACAAGAACCGCCAGCACCACCTGTGGACTAGAACATACCGGAAAAGTTCAGCCGGAAAAGTTCAACCAGCTGTAAGCTTGCACGGCCAACTGGATGAAAGTGACCAAACACTTTCTACTCCTAAACCCCATACAATACTGTGCTCTTCCACAGATTTATAAATCCTTTCTTTTTCTGTTATCATTCCTAGCAGATTACACTTGAATAAACTAACAAATGTGGCAGGAGGTGATGGACATTTTTGGTGATGGTGGTTGGACTGGTAAATATTCAGAGTTAGTGGATCCACGGAGAACTCATTGTGGGAAGAGGAATTGCTTTACCCCGGCCTATTGGGCTCTGTTTAGAGATGTAAAATTTCTGGAAATTTTGAAGCTCAGGAAAAAAACCGTGTTTTTTTCCGGAAAAAAAACGGAAATTTTCGGAAAAATTGAAAAAAATGCTACATTAGCATTTCTTTTGTCTTTTCTAGATTGAAAGTCATTCTGTTACTTTAGGAACATAAAATATGACTATGGACATTTTTACTTGGCATGAAATTATCACAACTAGCATATTAAAAATATAGTGTATCCAAACAATTATTACAAACAGAATACCCATTCACGTGCAAAAACAAACCTGAAACCTTTTTATTTTCTTCTGACAATAGCACCTCCTAAAGAAAGAAATGCATCTTGTTCTTGCATTGGAGAGTTCAGTTTGTAACCTAGGACTTGTTTGTCCTCAGTGCACAGAAATAAGATCAATCTGATGTCATATATATATATTTTAGAAATGATTTGGAAAATATTTGAACACCTTGTCTTAAAATATTTTATTCATCATGTTAAAATAAAACGTTCCATAGTCAATTTATTTTATTTTTTCAATTTTTCCAATTTTTTGGAAAATAACAAAAAAGGCTTCAGGAAAAAAACGGGAAAAAACTGGTTTTTTTCCGAATTTTTCCGGGTTTTTTCTGGGCCTTCACATCTCTAGCTCTGTTTCCCCCCATCTTGTTCAGGCTCTTTCGTGCAGCCCCTGTGTTTTTTAGTTTTTACTCCATCTGGAGCCTCCCATGACCCCCCCCCCCGGCCATATTCTTTATTCAGTCCCACTCTGCTCCTGGTAGAGGCCATGTTGGGCACCATTTTGGGTTGCTTCAGCAGCCTAAACTGCCACCCAAAAATTGGGAGAATCTTCTGGATGTCTCCACGTATACAGACATTGCTTTATTGTAGGAGCACCCCATATCTGCAGAAACATTTGCCCAGCTCCAGAAGGGCCTACTGTGCAGATTTAATGGGAATTCAATATATGGTTTTTAATCAATCATTGCCACTCACAGTCACTTCTGGGGGGAAAATTAAACATCTATACTTTTTATGCTTCAAACTAATTATTGTTATTTTTCTACATCTGTAGAAAAAGAGTTACAAGATCGAGTCCATTCCATTAGCAGATTTTCTCTGCTTTTTTAAACAGCCCATTCACTGGGGATTTGAACAGAAATTCTCAGTGGATTGTACACATTGCCTGTATTTTCATATAAAAGAATCCAACCTGCATTTCGTCCATGTGACTTACAACGTACTGTATGACAGTTAATTAATCTATTTATATCCATATTAATGCTGATTATAGTACATCTTTAACACAAGGCCAAATTAAATGTATTTATTGTAAGTAAGCAGATATCCAACATGGTGTTAAAATCAATTAAAGCCTGCATAACCAAATATTACATTCTAAAACTTGAATTATTTATAGATGTCATAAAATAAAAAGTCAGGCACTTATACACTCTGTCCTGATAAGTGCTATAATCTGCAGAATCCCTTATGCAGTGATTTGAATTTTCTGTGGGTGTACAGCTCTGATAGACAAATGAATCTGTCTGGCATTAAATGGAGGGGCAAAAGAATGCTATACATGAGAGCAGTTGCAAACATTTTCAGACTAAAATTAATAGCATGTTACTAGCGAGTGCATTCTGAGACAGTGAGAGTATACATGTATGCAATTGTAGCTTCGGTACTTGAGGCTTTCATAGACAAACTGATAGAAATCCCAACAATTAGAATAAAGTAGTATATACTGAGAGCATTCTGGACTGTATCAACCGCAGGTGATGTATCTTTAATGCTGATGAGAACCTGCACATCAGAGAGAAGAGTCATGCTGAGCTTTTCTCATTGATGTGCTAATTAGATGCAGAGGATTTTTCTGTAAAGTTGCCCACTCCTCAAGTAGACAGTCCAGAATTCGGCTACCCCAATCAGTATAATTTGTGGACCAGCTTTAAAACAGAAAGCTTCATAAGCTCAGCATCTTTGAACAGACCCTTCAACGAGCTATTTACTTGTAATGGCTGATAATTGATTGTAAGGCTGAAATTTACATTCTTCTCATACAGTGTCGTGCAGTACTTCTTCCTTATGTACTTATTTGTACAGTGAACAAGAAGAATACATATGGAGAAATCTTGAAGAATTTGGTTTGCATGTGTATTTGAGTGAGTGTATCTTCTAGTCCACTTAACAGGAATTTAAATCTACATTAAGAAATTGGTGAGGAAAACCTCTTAGTGATGCAAAGGCAAGTGACTTCGCCTACTTGTCTTCATCACTTTTGAAAACAGACAAAATAACAAATGTTTCCACACAGACAAAGTATCTTTCCCACAAGTTTATAGCAATCTAGCAAGATTACTGTAAAACAGCTCACAAGAGGGAAAAAACATCAGTATTCAATTTACTGAAACACAAAGCCACCTCAAATATAGCTGAACCCACACAAATTAAAAACGGTTTAGCTGGTGGTGCTCTACTCAGTCTGACCTGGGGAAAAGAAAAATCTTAACTCTTCTCTGCCTCACAGCATGGCTCTGAAGACATGGTTTTCAAATTTTCTAGCTTCAGAGAAATCTTTCCATAATAATGATTCATCAGCCCTAGGGACCCATGTGTGTTGCAGAGGATTCTGGGAAATGTTCAAGCATGCATCCACGGCTTGTGTGTCGAGTGTTGGCTAGGGCAGGTGGACACTGCTGTGGCTCTGCCTAAACGGAGAGGGCACACGTGACACTCCCCTGCAACTATATATTGCAGGGCAAGGTCAGTAGCGGTGAGCCAGTAGCCTTTCAGGAAAGCTGCCTGCCATTATTGACCTCCTTACTGAAGAAACCCTGATAATTTCCTGAGGAATTGAAACTGTTTGGAACAGCTCTGAAAACCGTTGTCCTTAAGTCCTAGTAGGAGGGACACCAAGAAAAATGCCTGCTAAGAACAGGGGTTGGGGTTGGCCACCAGCACAGGACAGAGGGACATATTTTGGGGATAGTGGGACATAGCCTGGATCGATGACCGCATTTGTATTGCGCCTTCCACACCAATGAAATACATGAGGTGGTTTGAGGAAGAGTCCATTCCTTCAGTCTTTACCAGTGCCTCCCTATGAGGCTTGCCTCTTCACTTGTAGAACTGTAATATTAGAGTGTGATTCTGCTTTATATTAAAGATTCATTACAACACAGAGGTTATAGCCAATGTTCCCTCTAAGCTGTGAAGTCTTGTGAGCAAAAATTCTACTTTGGGAGCTACTGGCAATCAAGTTGTGAGCAAGCAATTTGGCTACTGCATAAATTACTTTGCTCTGGAGCCATCTTTCCTGAGCTGAGACAAAGATGTGTGAGCTGGAGGCTAAAAAACTGTGAGCTAGCTCACTCTAACTCAGCTTAGAGGGAACACTGGTTATAGCTACTTGAGAAGAAAGCAGGTTTACTGTTGATGCTTTAGTTTATAATACTGTTAATTTTTTTTGTAGTTCTTCAAATGCACTTAGATGCCAAAATGAAGATTGATATTCATTTTTAGTATATCTGCAGAACACTTAGCCTTAGTTGGTAATGGTAGTTTTCTGGATAACGAAGGAGATAATAAAGTGACGATCTTAAATAGTCTGAATCCTCCCAAACAAAACAATCATATGTGCCATTTGGGACTTTATGTTAATCTAAGATTAGCTGGGGATAAAAGGTTTGTACAATGCACTTTTTATTGATTAAAATAAATATCAACTCTCTGTGCACGTCTGTTTTTTTTATGTAACGCTCCTCACTTTGTAAGGAGGGCACCTTCACTGGGAAATTTGAACTTATGTCAGCATATTAAAATCCCAAAATTTACACTGTGGGTTTCTTTCTATAGTGCTGTTACATCACTACACTGCTAACGTATTAACACTGTCTTGTACTTCTCTGCACGGTTGTCAGTAGTATTCCAAGACAATGTAGGGACCTAAGGTCTTTGCTACAGAAATAAGAGAAGTAACATTTCCAGAAATTTTGAAGCCACAGTTGGAATATATACATTCTGTTGCTTACCAAACCAAAACACACAGTACTGCTTCAGCAACACAAAATGCATAGTTTTACATTTTAGTTATCACATAAATTGTACGATTTGGCATATTTATAAAATGTCAATGTTATAAATGCAAGTCGTTTTCTACAGGCAACATTATGAATATATCCAGTGTTGATAGAGAGCTGCAGAGTGGAAGTAGAGAGCTTCAGTGTTGATAGAGAACTACAATCTGGAAGATTGCTGAGCGGTCGGGTTAGAACGGATAAAAGGAAGTACTTCTTCACCCAGAGAGTGATTAACACTTGGCATTCACTGCCACAGGAGGTGGTGGCGGCTACAAGCATGGACGGCTTCAAAAGGGAATTAGATAAGCATATGGAGCAGAGGTCCATCAGTGGCTATTCGCCACAAGGTATAGATAGGGGCTCTGGGGCAAGTGATGCTCTGTCTTCTTGGTGCTTGGGGGGGGCTAACAGTGGGAGGGCTTCTAATGTCCTAGCCCCACTGGTGGACCTCCTGGTGGCACCTGGTATTTTTGGCCACTGTGACAGAGTGTTAGACTAGATGGGCCTTTGGCCTGATCCAACATTGGCGTCTCTTATGTTCTTATAAAGTGCTTCATTCTGCGCTCCTTTAGCATCATAGTGTTTACCATGTGCCCTCAAGTCGCAACTAACTCAGGGCGACCCCCATGAAGTTCTACCTCACAGGGTTTTCAAGGCAAGAGACGAGCAGAGATGGTTTGCTGTTGCCTTCTTCTGAATGGCACCCCCAAGTCTTACTTGATGGTCTCTCATCCAATTACTGACCTCAGTAAACCCTGCTTCGCTTTGGGCTGAGGTGGGGCTGGTCTGGGCTACTAGGGATGCCAGTTTGGTGCAGTGGCTAGGAGCATGGACTCTAATCTGGGAGAACCAGGTTTGATTCCTCTCTCCTCCACATGCAGCTGTTGGAGTCACCTTGGGTCAGTTACAAGCTATTTCAGAGCTGTTCTCAAAAGAGCTCTCCCAGCCCCACCTAC